GCTTTTTATTTTGTTTCTGTCACCCTGTGCATTTCACTGCATTATTTTACTACTGTTTTAACAAGTATTCTGTATTATATCAATATGCACTCCTGGGCATTATTTAACACATGCATATTTTAATTACCTAATTATGTTAATAACATTTTTTGCATTTTTCTACATCTTGTGTCTCTAAAGGCCACTAGACTCTCAAGTTTCTGACTCTGTGACTTCCTTTAGGGTTAAAACATTTTTACTTTGATTGTATTGTGCACCTGTTTCCAGGAAATTACAGATCCTGCTGTAGAAAAAGTATTCAAGGAGAAGTTATATACACAACCTTTTCATGAAGCATTTATCACTGATGAAGTAGGAGTGGAAAGAATACGAAGAGGGTTGAATGCTTTTCATGGCATTAATGGTGCATATAAGATCATAAGTGACACATATGAAGAACATGAAAAGTGCAGATTCAAAGAGATAAAAATGTTTGAGGCTAATCATGTTGGTTTTCCAATAAGAAAAGGATCTCCTTACACAGAACATATCAGACAAAGGTAAAAACAATTTACAAGCTACTTTGTTTTACCCAGCTACTGAGCAGGCAGGTATAATTGTAATGCTTTTGCTCTGACTGGTATTTCGGATGTATCCAGCCCAAGTCTTGTCTGATTTACTTGCTATTGTGGCTGAAGGTTCTCATGTTATTCTTAGGTCTCTTTACATGAATGCCAGGATAGTATCTTGAAATAGGTCATGACTGTCTCCTTCTAAATCCTTACCTATTTATCATTCATGATTATCTTTCTGTCTAATTTATATATTACACCTTGTCTCTAAAACTCTTATGGCCTGAATGATGCACATATAAGCTATACACATCAACATAATGATGCCATAAAAACTGTGCCACTGAGTAACCTCAAAATATTAATTATTGACTTCAATAGCTGGTCTTTCTTCGGAAATTTACAATTATTATCCACTCAGGAAATTACCTGTGATTTTTTTATCATGACCTGCTATTGGTTCTGTGCAGTTTATATCTTCACAACCTCCGAAAGCCTCTTTAATATTGTCTTCCCATCTGTACCTAGGTCTCTCAAGTTGTACTTCCTTATGACACCCAACTCACCTTTCTGTGCATTTGATGTTTTTAAATTGTGCTACTTATTCTACCAATCTTTATATACTTCTTTTTTTTAATTTTCTCTTGGGATAAGGTATTCTAATGTGCCTAAATGTCAGTCTCTGCTAGCACCAAAACAATTGAGTGGATTATGTTCATGTATGATATTTACTAATGTTTATATTCTGCACAGATGCCCTACAAATATGAAACTTATGACTTAAAGTTATAAGCATTCTACATGAAAGCTAAAATACAAATCAATCATGGGTATAATGATGCTGATAACATTTTGCTCATTTTGTAGAGTTAAACCAAAGATAATATCTTACTTAAGTTGAAGACAAGTTTAGTATCAAAGATGAAGCTACAATTAAGCACTGAGAATTTGATAAAATGCACATCTCAGGGGCAGTCATAGATGAATATGAACTGTTTGTTGAATGCTGAAGTACTCAGAAAAAACCTGTCCCAGTCACCTTACCTGCCACACATAGCTTGTCCTGGAAATTAACCCAGCGTTCCTCCAAAAGGAGAAGCCAGAACAAACCACTTCAGCTTGGAAGATCCTTATAGAAAGTGCTGTACTAATGAGCCTTGTGTCCCAAACACTAGCTACTTAATTCTTTTGAAATGCTTCTTTCTCTTGACATGTATAATTATATGATATAGTTTCTGCAATGTATTTTTCACCATTTATTTAGGTATCTTAGACTCAGTATCACACTTTGTCACTCTTCTTTCTTAACCTTTATAATACGGGAACAGGTAACTGATTTATTAGGCTGCTGGACAGAATTCAACTCTGGGGTTACTGGTTTAACAGTATGCTACTGAAATGCACAGTCAGCTGGATCACACTTAAGCCAAAATGCACAAATGATAAAGGCTAACATACACACACAATGCATCTATCCAAACAATGATTATGTTCTAGGACACACTGGTTGAGAGAAGCTGGAATGGTGGGACGAGAAGAAACACGGTGGTACTATCCGAAGCCACGATGTGAAACCAGTGGTCAGAATTTTGTGAGTGTGGGAATCCAGGAATTCTATCCTACATTGGTGATTCTAACATATGGTATCTTCTTGTCCATTGTAATGTTGGTGGTAGAAGTAGTCTATAACAAGTATCAACATATTCTTCTTGTGACTTCTTTCAAATCATGTACCAGGAAGATAAGAAATTAAAGAAACTTGCAAAAACACCACATTTGAAGGAAGAAAGCTTTAATCGTATAAGATATCCATTATAATGTTCTACATACCCACCAAAACTGAAAAAAAGTAAATAATTGTTTTCACTTTAGCAGAATTTTGTGTGACTGGTGCAACATTAAATCTACTGACATACCACACTCACCTTACATTTGGTTTTTCTTGTACATACATACATTAAAAAATACCATAGTTAGCACTAGTGCACAGACAACAGTGTCTTTGTAGTTTCATACAGTTTCATGTGTGCCTCTAACATGAAACAGCAAGCATAATGCAACTACATCTTGCAGTAGTCAATACTACTTGACTGTTTTGTCTGATTATTTGTTATGCAATACAACATCAAACTATAAGAAATATATTTATTTGTATGATCCTCAGAGATCTGTTACACATTTTACTGTATTTACAATCAGCTACTGTATCAGGTTTTAGTATTTTTCCTAGTTATTACAGAATTACCTTACTGAGAACATGTTACTAACAGAAAGAAGTTACTTATAAACCACTGCAGTGCAGAAAAATTCGTGCTTCTGTCACTGTTTATACCAGTCTTAAAGATATCAAATACTTCTGCACATACCTTGGGTTTATGTACCGGGTTTACAATTTATGTCTTTTGAGGCGCGCCCGCACCGCGCGGTCGGCTGGCGGTCTGTTGACGTGGGCGGGACTAGTCCGTGTTCTTCCCATGAGTCACAGGCGAATCAGTTTCA